TGTCATTGATTTTTAAAGTTGAAAAATATAAAAAAAAAATGAAAACTAATAGCGGGGCCCCCAAAGAGATTTGTGGGTGTCCAAAATCTTTGGAATGTCCTAAATTAATTTTAGAAAACATGTTGTGCAAATAGAATGACTTTAGCTTTGGCTTATAACGAATGTTGTAAAAATTCTCAAAATTGATTGGAAAACTGTAGGTTATAACTCCTAGTTTTTGTGGAAAAAAATTGAAATTGAAATATTTTGGATCAAAGTTAAGGAAAATATTGCAAGACCTTTGAATGTGATCCTACAGTTTATAAGGTCTTGAAACTATTTTTTCTTGCTTTTTAAAGTTAAAAAAATAGAAAAATAATAAAAACTAATAGCGAGGCCCTTAAAGAGATTTTGTAGGTGTCAAAAATATTTGGAATGTCCTGAATTAATTCTAGAAAACATGCTTGTAAAAGTTCTCAAAATTGATTGGAAAATGCGGGTTTTAACTAAGAATGGGCAAAATATCCACGAGTATGGGTAACCGCACGTGGTTATCCACACAATTAAAATTCATGATTAAGATTATGAGTAACTGTTTAAACAAATAAACGGTTATGGGTATAACCGTTTACCTGTAAAATTTAAATGGGTAGTTATGGGTATTACTCTCAATTGTAAACGGGTACCTGTTAACCGTTTATTGATCCAAATGAACATTTTACTTATGCCTTCGCTCGCTTATATCTTCTTCGTTATAATGCCGATTGGTGAACTGTTTTGCCTACATTTCGTGTGATCGAGCTCTATCCAATTATACTTAGTGTGATCTCGAAAGATTACATGATTTGACAAAACTTAGAGGATCAAATGGACAATGAAACCCGATTTTCCTTGTTAATGGATATGCCATTGAGAGTTACTGGCTTCAAACGGAGCCAAATGTTTTGATCAAAGCTTCACTTGAAGAAGGGCATTAAACCTGGTTATTACAATCCAGACTGCACGCTCTTAGTCCTTCAAATACTTATACCCTTGAAGATGTTGGAAGTTTTGATATCCCTGCTGGTAAGTTATTAGACTTGACAGTCACACCGAAATTTTTTCTAATTAAGAGTAATGCTAAGGAGACTAAATTTTAGAGGAAATGTAAGTTGATAATTGATTTATTATTTAAGTGTTAATAGACGTGCTCATTTTTATTGATGACACATAATTTAGTTTGCAAATTTAATTTCTAAATTTAGTCTCCCTATATATCATTACTCCCTAATTAATATGTGCATGCATGCAACTTCTCGGCCAATAGCATTTGATTTCTTATTAATTCATTTTTCTCAGGTAACTTGCATCAATTAATAAGCTGCTTGAATTGCTTGGACCAAGCGTAAAGGTGCATGAGTTGTAAACTATAATTTTAATTATTGGAATGAGGGAACTTCAAAGATTAAAATACGGAAATCATGTTAAATGTACTTATAAACGGCTAAAAACCATGTAGGTAGGTAAAAAAAAGGATAAATGAGTAAAAATGGTAAATGGGTTAAAAAAAGGATAAACGGGTATGCGTTACGATTAAATAAGTACACTGTTAGGGGTATAGCTTTCAACTTGATGCCATACTTTCTTCCTCCTTTGCCATGCTACTAGGTTTTATTTTGTTTGTCCTTTTCTATGGTTCATCGCACACCCGAGGGTGGTAAAGAATCAGATATTAAAGTATTCATTTTATTCTTTGAAAGAAAAGCAATGCTACAACAAAGTTTGGAGGATAAGCAAAAACGAAATCTCCTCTTATTTTTTTCTTTTATACTAAAATTCCCTTAATATAAATATAAAAAAGAGTGAGATTGCTTAACTAATGCCATGTGTTCCATGAACCTCTCCTTCACAAATACAACCAGATCAAACTGTAGGGAAGTACACTTTGATAAAAATAACAAATCAAATAAAAATAAGAAAAAAAAAAAAAAAAACGGAAACTTTAACGAAAAGCTTTCGGTACTGTTCATTTTAACAAAAAACCACATTTTTATACTAAAAAGTCAATCCTGGTACTATTCATTTTACCCTTTATTTTGTCCTTATTGTTAAAACTCAAAGTTTTTAAACCATTTTCATTAGTTTTTCTAGAAGAAAAAAAAAAAAAAAAAAAACGAGAATTAGCTGGTAGTTTTGCTACACAGTTCACTCTGTTGGGAGTCAAAAAATGTTTCATCTTTTTCTTGGCCACCATCGGCTCCTATTGAGAAATATGATGTTATGCGTTTGAAAAAAAATTCCCTAGCCATAAAGATCACAGATTAATAGATTATTGTCCAAAAAACCCCAAACTTTTAAGTGGAAAAAGAATGACATGAAATATGAAAGGAATATTTGCCAAAAAGAAAAAGAGATATGAAAGGAATATAAGAAAGACAGCCACTAGTATTCTTAATTGTCATCTTCAGAACTCCAAAGCATCATAACAAGGATAGCCTACAACCCAGCAGGTTTTGTCGTTATAAAGCTTGAAATATTCCAATTTCACACACAAATCCAATTTAGATTTCACACACAAATCCAATTTAGGAATCTGATAGATTTTCCACACTTTCAGACTATTAGTATATTCATACATAATTTATGTGTGTTAGATGTCAAATACTAAAATTCAGCACACTAAACGATGTTAGGTTTCTAAACAAACGATATTATCTACATTAGGAGGTGGGGGAGTGGGCTAACTCTCACAATTAGTTAACAATAATGTGGTTCAACTTCGTCTCTGGCAAAAATCGAATCTAAGACCTCTCACTTACAAGTAAAGAGGAATATCATTAGATCGTAGTGAAGTGCCAATTTAGTCCCTGAACTATCAGCTCAGGGAAAATTAGGTCTTTGAATTATTTTTTTTGGTAAAATAAGTCCCTAAAATCATTAAAAATTAAGAATTTCATCCCTACTATTATATTCAAAGCTATTTTATCAAATTTTTCATCAACTTAAACAACTTGACATACAATTTAGAATAATACCGTCAAACAGGTGGCAGCTTCCCATGCAAAGCTTAATTGTTAAGTTTTTTCAACCTTTTCCGTGAGAGATTCTATCTCAGTGGCTTTCCACTTAATCTCCTTTATTTCTCGCCTACGAGCCCTTAACATTTCATATATGTTGCGAATCTAACGTCTAATTTACCCTTAAATTAACTGCACTATACTTTATGAAAAAAATTATCAATCTACCCTCCAATGTGTATCATATGCAAGTAACGTGACTTAAATTTACAAAAAAATGAATATAGTAACTTTGAATCTAATATTAGGGATATAAGCAAATTTTTATAATTCAATGACTAATTTTTCTGAAAAGTTAATTTAGGAATCTAATTTTTACTTAGACGATAATTTAGGAACTAAATTGCTAGTTCACTTGTAATATAGCACCTCTACCATATTAAATGCCGAACAAGCTGTTTTAGCCTCAACTAATTGTTTTTTTTTTTGTTAACATTTTTACAAATGGTATTTTAATTTAACTTTACAAATATCTTCACCTAAAAAATTAAATTCTGACAAAAGATGAAAGATCACAAAGATTTTATTTTCTTAGAACATCTTCAACTTTTGGATTAAAACCTAAAATTTTTAATCCAGAAAATTTAGATTTTAACCTAGAAACGTTTTTTTGGGTTAAATTTTTGCTCGAGATTATTAAAGAAGGAATTTAAGATAATTTTTTTTTCTTAAAGTAACTTTTTTTTCAAAAAAAAAAAAAAAAATGTAAACTATTCTAATTTAATTTTATGAACATTTTAACCTAAAAATATTTAGATTCCGAAAAATATAAAAATCACTAATCCAATACCATGAAGCACACTATGAAAGAATATGAAGCACATGAAAGAATTTTTTTAATTACTTTAATTGTTGGATTTAAAACTTTTTCTTTCATTAGTTTTGATTATGTTAGATCATAGTTGTTAGATTCAATGAATTTATAAATATAAAACTAAAAAAAAATGCACATATATGATGGCCCTAAAAATGATTTTAGGTTAAAACTCATATTTACCCCAAGAATTAGAACAAGTTAGAGAAAATTTCGAACTTAAAATTTAAGTTTTACTTTAAGAGAAGGGGATTCTTATTTGTACAAATGGTACTTCAAACTTGGAACGAGCATGAAAAATTTAACGATACTTCTTTATCTTTTGAGTTGTTTTGCTGGATCAATCGCTCAAGACCTTTGGTGACCCGATGAAGTAAGTCTTACAACAACAAACTACAAACATCAATCAACCAGCCAAGCCTTTTAGCTCTCATAGCTAAAGCTAAAGCAGCAAGTGGCCAACGTGTGGGGCCTGTTGCCAGCATTTTGCGCGCGACTATTTTCCAAGACGCGTCTGTTTGCGCGTTACATGCTAGGTCCAGTTGCACCCAAAAACCAGGTCTGACATCGTGACCCACACCAGGAATAGGAACACAAAATTCATTTCCAAAGGTGGGAACTTTGGCCATCTCCAATTGATCTGGTGAGAGAGTCAGATGGTAGAAAATAACCTTAAATGAATGATAAATTGACATTTGAGCATCAAGTGTTCTTGGGCTTGGAGAGGATTTAGTTACCAGATGTTAAAATTTGGGTTTGAGAGTTAGTTAAGATTTGAAGATACATGTTTTGGCACACATTTTTTACTTTTATGTTGTAGAACTCATTTTGTAATATATTTCATCAATCTTAACTTTATACATTTTGTTCATCCTTCATAGATCATCTTTGTAAAAAATTGACAAAATTCAAAACAATTAAGACATTCATTTATAGTGAATAAAATAAATAAATACGATTCTATAAGGAAACACTAAATATAGTTCAACGGCCCAATGTTTTTGAATTTGGATGATTTTTTATAGACATGCATATTTGAAGCTAAACAAAAAAAAATAAACGGTTAAATTATTAAAATAAATTATGAAGTGAAACTCACAAAAAGTATATAAAAAACATATGTCTTCAAATCCTAATCATATATATAAATATGGGGATGTATATATATTGTCATACTCTAGAATCAATCTTATCCTTTGAAAAGTATGGGGAACACAATTGGAGGAAGAAGGAAAGCAAAGGTAATGAAAATCAGCGGGGAGACCTTCAAAGTAAAGACCCCGATAAGGGCATGGGACGTAGTGAAGGACTACCCAGGTCATGTCCTATTGAACTCGGAAGCTGTGAAACGTTTTGGCGTGAGGGCCAGGCCACTGGAACCAAAACAAGAATTGAAACCCAAGAAAATATATTTTCTTGTCGAACTCCCCAAGTTTCCGGCGGAGGAAGAAGAAAAACAAGTGAAAAGAAGAGTGCGGTCGGGTATTCAAGTGAGTGCCAAGGACAGGCTCGAGTGCTTGATGCTTTCACGGCGGTCGGTGTCGGATCTTACGAGTGTTAGGGAATCGTCGACAACGTCGAGTTCATCATCGGAGGGTCCGGTGCGGATGAAGATGAGGCTGCCGAAGGCTCAAATGTTAAAACTGGTTGAAGAGAGTAAGGATGACGTGGAAATTGCTGAGAGGATAATAGAGCTTTATATGGTTAATAATGGTGGAAAGGTCGAAGGGCAGATGGTGGAGAAGGAAGAAGGCGTTTTGCAGCGGAGGCGTGGTGGTGGCAACCTCAAGCCGCGTCATGAGGTACAAGTCTGACCCTTTTTTTTGTTTTTTGTTTTGAAATATTTTGGAATTGGGTGTGCATCTTTTTCTGGTAGAAAGATAAGATGTTTCATCAATTTTGTTCTTTTTCTTTTGTTTTTAGTGTTATAAACTTTCTTCAATTCCCAATATTCAGGTGACCTATGTTAGGTGTTCATAGTTTTGCACTCTTGAATTTTTTGGTGAAAGTTTTGCACATTTAAAGGGTGGTTATTGAGTTTGTGAATTATTCTTACAAAGTTACACTTCAACAAAGTTGATGTTCTTTTTTCTTTCGTACAAGTGATGTGAATTATTCTTACAAAGTTACATTTAAAGGATGGTTATTGATTATGTTTATTTATTTAATTCGGGTGTATAGAGAAGCTAAAATAATTGGTAGATCGCTTCTCTTTCATTAGTACTTATATATAGAATGAGATAAATAGTCTAAATCAGCTTAATTGAGTACAAGTATTACGAACAATTTTAATTGTTTAATTATGGGCAATTTTAGTTGTTCAATTTACATATGTGCATACGATGACATTGTGCTGTTTGTAGAATGTTTTTTTTTTTTTTCTTGGTCAATTTTAGGCTTCGAATAAGAAATTAGGTCAATGTTAGGCTTGAGAGAAGGAGAGAGAGGGAAAGAGAGGGAGCGCATTTTCTAGATAGTGGACCTTATTGCCTGCCTTGTTTAATAAAGTTAATAGTGGATGCATGCCTCAGGCTTCTTACTGAAGATGTAAATACACAAATAAAAAAGAACACCTCTCAAGTGTCCTCGATTAGTCGATTACCTCACACCATAGATCAATAGCATGTTCCATACTGAATACTTAAACATGAATCTTTTATTGTTAAAGTTACGTTATCACATGGTTTTACCAATTCACTAATGATAATGTGAGACCCGATATGCTTATATCATAAATCTAGTTAAGTTGCACTATTAATCTATAAATACATATGATAATGAGTTGTATGAAGCTTCCGACAACACCATCTTTCAGTATTACAGTCTACATATTCAATATAAAACTTTTGTCAGCGAATTGTAATATTCCTCACATAAAATGGTCAAATGCGTTTCTTAGTTCTTAATTTGGTTGGTAACGTACCGTCGAAGTTTCTACAAAAAAAACAAAGGAAAAAGAAAACCACAATGGTTAATGTAATCCCCTTGCCGCATGACATTTTTTCCGAATTAAGTTCTCTCTTAAGATACAGACAGTCATGAAAGTTGCAAACAAATATAGGGTCCTGGAAGCAAAGTCGCCACAAAAAAGTTTGCTACCTAAAATACTAGTGATATAGAACAGTCTACAAAAAGTTTTATACTGTAAAGTTTCTAGTTGATGAGAAATTTTTTATTGTGGGCGGAACACGATGAGGTACATCACGTGTCATTATACAAATGGTGATATATGTGTGTTAAAAAGTTAATAACATGAAAAATAAAATTTCTCCCCACTTACATAAAAACACGTGATGTATCACCCATGTTCCGGTCACAATGAAAAATTTCTCCTAGTTGAGTGTGGAAGTGGAGTTTACATGTCAAATCTTGAGTGGAGGCGAAAAGAGAAAGGTAGATGGAAATGATAGCTAGCATTCCTCTTTCGGTTAATATCTCCATGTATGAATTGACAATATTCCTTCTTTGATAACATAATTTTGCAGAAGCGAGTGAGTTTTGTCCCTGTGGAAGAAGAAGAAATTCGTTTAGATCTAGCCCCTCAATAGCTAGCGCTAGCGCATGCAGTCAATCATGAAGTATCAAAATTTGCAGACTTCATTTTTGGTGCCTTGATTTGTATATATGTAACATATATATTTGCAATATATACAATATTAGCTCCTGTAATTGTTTTTCTCTTTGTATAATATAGAGACCGTTCTATGATTTTGTATCCTGGAAATTCAAGCTTCTAAAAATCATTTAGCTTTGATGGTGACCGGTGAGTGTCAATTTAGCTTCAAATAATGTAAAAGTTGGGACGTACATTATTTTGTCTTTTCAGTTTTTTATTTTAAATCTCTACTAGGAACCAACCTTTTGTCAGCTGCTCGTACGTTCATCCTAAACATGTTTTGGGATCATCTTGGCCCTCGCAACCGCTTTGCTACTGATCTTGCAATTTAACTTGGCCACAAACTTTACGTCTTTCGACTCGGAGTCAATGATCACTTCCTCCGTTTCTTTTTCCGATTTCTTAGTATTGTGAGAAGCACAAGGGAAGATGAAGATGGAAAATATGGAGAAAAATAAGATGGTGATGACGAAGATAAAATGCCAAGAAAAAAAGGCCGTGGGGAATTTTGGTAAAGGCCTTGCCATGGTTGCAGTGCTAGGATAGGAGCTAGCTTAAAGTCGTCTTTAAAAAAGTTTTCCAATTATCTTCAATTTTTGTGAAATGTTTATTGGGAATGGCCCATAGGTGCTTTTTCTATGCCTCACTTTGCTTGCTTTTGATACGGAGGAGGAAGTTGTTGGAGAGGCTTCTAACCAAAATAATACACTTACAAAATCAAAATTTTGAACAGTGGTGGGCACAATGCACTTACCATATGAGGATGCTGCATATATATGGCACCAACTATTTATCCATGTCCGCACTGCGAACAATTAAAAATATGAGTATGCTAGCTGCACTTGAAGTATTTGATTCATGCTTGTTTGCTTTGCAGTTTTATTTTTGTTCATGTTATTACTGCTAACTACACTGTAATCTAGGGTTTCGGAATGTAACAGAGGAAACGAAGAAGAAGAATTAGAGAAATAACAGGTCTCCATTAACTAAATAATAGAGTACATCAGCTCTATTTATAGTAAGAGCATATTACTTAATGGCTATGAAATACAACCGACTCCAGCTGATGTACGATTTACGATTTACCCAAAACTATAAGATGTTTAATTCAATGTAGTACGTGATATATTTAAAACACTGTATAAGATAAAATAAATATCTTTTTTTTTTGGTCAAACTAAAAACTTTCATTAATTAAAAAAACTATTACATGAACTAGAAAGCTCAATGACAATCCAGGTAAATGCCCTTATACGTAACGGATTTTTTAGTTAGTAGGGCAAAGCCGGTCAACATTTAAGGTTTACTCAAAACCTTTACAAGATGGAAGAGGGTCATATTGTCATAGGGCAAGTTTTTGCGCAAAGGGTAATAAAATGGCGTGTAATACCTTAATGTTTACGCGACAACACTTATGGTCGTTGACTAGGTCACCTTTATCCAACGGACTTCTGCATTGGTCCACTATTTCACGCCGTTGGGCAAAGGCACACAATGACGTGTTAACAAATCCAGCGACAAAGGCTTTGCTCGATGAACTTTGAAAAAGTTCCATCAAGCAAAAGGCTTAATTAGGTACTAGGTTTTCGGGTTTGGGGCGACCAATCTTTCCCGACGATTCTATCAAACTGCCACTACTATTTTCTTTAATTATAGAGATCTAGAGAGTAACACTGGTGGTACAAATAAAAGGAGTAAGTGGAAGAAGAGGAAGGAGTGGTAGCCAATTGTGGGGGTTCGCACAACGTAGCTATAAGATTTCCAATTGTAAAATTAGGACTAGTACTAGCCAACCATCAAATATGTTTGGATATAGTTTGAGATCTTCTATGTAAAAAGTAAGGAGTTGATTCACCTATTTATAGGCTAGAAGAAGTCGATCTAGGCTCTCTGACACTTCTCTAAGTCATCAGAGCAAGTAGGGGCTGGTGGCAGTACTTCTTTACTAGGACATGCCTTTTATTCAGAACAGGGCTGCCTATTCTTTGCACAACATGGGTTGACGTATCAGCTATACCAATCAGTCCTGCATAACACCCCATGTGGCTAAGTGGGTTTTGCTTAGATTAAAAAGGGCAGTCTAGCATGTGAGTGGGAGTTATTGGTATAACTTAGGTGTAAGAGACGCCTCACTCCTTCCAGAATGCCTTAACTCCGCAGGTAAAACGCATAAACATATGCCAATTATGGCAAGAGATGAAGCGGCGTGCTTAAGCAAAGTTGCTGCGCATGACTGAGAATTAGTTCGCATGTACTTTGCTAGGTTAGCCCAATCTTTGTCAGCTTTTGGCATAAGCTTGGGAATACCCAGACCGACCTTCAGGAGCCATTCTCCCAGCCACCTTAGCACCTACCTGAGTAATTTAAGTTTATTTGTTTAATTTTTTCACCATAATTGTACAAACAATTTTATTTTAAATGTTGTTTGTACGATACTTGACCAATCCTGAAACTACCAAGCATCAATCAATTTCATACCTTCAAGGATCCACTGAGGGGTTCATGCTGAGGCACCCCTGCCCAAGCACAAGAGTTTCCCTCCAACCAGGAGGCCAATCACAGCACAACACATGTCAACTTTAGAATAAAGCTCATAGAGTCCCACATCGATCGCGGATGAAAGCTAGAGATTCTCTTCAACTATAAATGAAGACCATTCTCCTACAATGAATCCATAATGTCATTATTGTACTTAAACTAGTCATTAGAACTTGAACCTATGTATTTGTGTAAACCCTTCACTATTAATGAGAACTCCTCTACTCCGTCGACATAGCCAAGCTTAGGGTGAACGATGTAGATCTTGTGTTTGCTTCCCCATCTCTATCTCTTTACATATTTATCCTCACTATACTAGTAGGAAAAACTATTTGCATGACAGATGTTTGGGCAACAAAGCAAAATTCATTGCGCAAGTGTGTTTTTGCAAAAAAAAACAATAGCTTCGTCGCGCAAGAAAGGTGCTACTTTGCGCGACGCACAACTTTGTTGCACAATACAGTTTGCACGATGAAAAAAAAACACTTGTCACACAAAGTTAATCAGACAAATGCGAGTAATTTTTTGTTTTTTTACGAGAAAATAAATGCGCTACAAAGTTTTTCTTGCGGAAACCTTAGGTGACAAAGGATTAGCCGCGCAAAGTTCGTTGAGTTTTTGGGTCAGAGCATTCAATGCATGCGAATCAATGGAATACTTGTGCGACAAAGGCTTCGTCGTGCAAAGTCCAGTCAGTTTTTGAGTTAGGGCATTTAGTGCATGTGAATATGAGGAATCAATATTGTATTTAGTGCAATTGTCTGCTTATTCTTCACAACTTTATTCGTGCTCGAATGAAAGATAAAAACCGAGAGCAGAGCATGTCCTCTGGGCCTTATGATATGAGGCAATATGTGGAGTTTATGTGTGTGATTGGTGTAGCAATGCAGAATAATTGTCCTACTGCTAAGTGGTGTTTTTGGAAATATGTGCCCGAGAATGTGAAGAAGGTGATGGATCAATTATTAGTAAGTGTGACAAATTTTGAAAATAATTAGTTTTGTGAAATTTTTTGTTATATATTGTAATTAATTATCTGCATATATGTGTAATAGTGTAACTATACTCTTGATGATACGAACGAAAAGTTGATGAAGTTGGTGGAGGAGGTGTTGAAGGGAGGTTACAAGCAGTGGCGCTATGACATGAACCGAAATGGAGGACAAGCGAAACAATAGTTTTAAATTTAAGTTTTTGAGGACAATATTTAATTTTAAGGTTTTTTTATAGGTTATGTATTTGAACTTAATTAGGCTTTAATTCATGTTTTGTTGTTTAAATAATTGAATGGATTAATTCAATTTATTTAAGCTTTTAATTATTTTTAGAATAAATATTATAATTGAATAGTTGTTTGTAATTATGACGTTTACGTAAATATAGATACTAAATATCTATGTTTACGTAAACTTCATAATTACAATCAATTACGTTCGTCGCTAAAAGGGCACAAAAAACGTGGTTAACTTTACCACCATATTTCGAATCTATATGTTTTGTGCGACGAACCATTTGTCGTGCAAGGTGGTTAAACCTTGCTCAACAAAGGCTTCATCTCGCAAATGTCGTTCAGTTTTTGGGTCAAAGCATTCAGTGCATGTGAATCAGAGGAATCAATACCGTATTTAGCACAGATGTTTGCATTACAAAGACTTCGTCACGCAAAGTCCGTAACATTCCTATAAATATATGCTTCTGCTTTCCTTATTCTTCACAATTTGTTTCGAAAACACTTTACAATTTTGCAGATTATAATCAATTTGTTCTTTGATTGTTGTACGATGGCCGACTATGGTTCGCGTTCGTCAAAGACAATGGATGGCGAAGGTTCCGGAAAAGGTTTACATTGTAAATTTTGCATTTTGTATAAAGTTTTATTTAGCTTCAGTGTTATGAATATATATTTTGTTGATAGACAAGAAGAAAAAAGCTGCAGTACGGGTCCAACACACTTATGGTGGGGAACTGTTTCTGAATCACTATTGATGAATTAATAAGGGATGTGAAGTCAGATATGTGCATCAACTTTTGGTTTGACATTGGAGTATTGGTGCGTGACAAATGTGCTGCAGATTGGGAGTCTTGGAGAGCCATCCCCGAGGAGCTGAGGATGCACCTGATTGATGAGTTAGCTATATGTGTTAAGTTATCAAGTAAATAATAATTATATTTGTTAAATATACTATAATAGTGAGATTTTAATTTATTAATTTTCACATGACAACCTTATTGGGACATTGACTAAAGTAACCAAAATTTGATGAAGGTTATCGACAACATGTTCAAGTCTCGTTTCTGGGAATGGAAGTTTGATAATCAACATGCGGCAGAACTACAACGAGAACCAGAACTACGAGTGGAGGAGTAGAATAATGTTTTTTATTTAAATTTTATTGCTTATTTAATAATGAGATCTGATTTTGAAGGTTTTTTTTTTATTATGAACGGTTTAATTAAATATGTACTTAATGTTTAATTTGAATAAAATTAATGCATTTTAATAAATATTTATATTAATTAATTATGCACAAATGATTCAATGAAATAAGTTCTT